GCTGTGGGCCCTGCGGGCGGAGCCGTGTGGCCACGGTAACTCTGAGGCATGGCCGCGAAATCTCAGCGCGAAGGATTGCAAAAAAACCAAGGATTGCAAAGGATTGCAAAACAACCCTCGTTGCAATCCTGGTTTTTTTTGCGATCCTTCGTTGCAATCCTGTGTTTTTTTGCAACCCTGCGCGTCCCGTGCCGGGGGAGAAAAAGATACGGATACGTGTTGTCCCCCTTCGCTTTCGGCCTCTCCTGGTCCTCCGGGGGAATCCTCGCTGTCACCGCTGGATTCGCCTCGAAATTCTGGTCAGAACGCACCCCAAGAGAGGTCCGGGGCGCCGTCCGTCGCCAGCTCGTACGCCGCATTCTTGGCCTGGCCGCTGCGGAGGGGGGAAAGGGGGCGGGGAGAAGAAGGAGAAGGAGGAGGAGGAGGGGGAGGAGGGGGAGGAGGACGTCGAAAAGGAGGAGGAGGAGGAGGAGGAGGAGGAGGAGGAGGAGGAGGAGGAGGAGGAGGGGGACAACACGTGTCCGTATCTTTCCGCCCCCCAGCCGTGGGGGTGACCCCCTGGGCGGAACCCACACGGCCACGACACCTCAGCGCACGCGCCTTCGAGCCTCTCCTCACAGGAGAAGCGAGGGCCCCATGGGTGCAGGCCTCGCCCGGGGAGGTCGGGCGAGGGCCACGAAGAGCAGGGCACCAGCACGAGGCAGCGCTGGCCACGACGGCACGGAGGAGGAGGAGGGGGAGGAGGAGGAGGAGGAGGAGGAGGAGGAGGAGGAGGAGGAGGAGGAGGACGCCCCCCTCTTGGCCGCTCCCGACACTGCGATCTCAGCCCCCAGCCTCCGACCATGCAGTGCAAGAGCGATGCTGTGGGCCCTGCGGGCGGAGCCGTGTGGCCACGGTAACTCTGAGGCATGGCCGCGAAATCTCAGCGCGAAGGATTGCAAAAAAACCAAGGATTGCAAAGGATTGCAAAACAACCCTCGTTGCAATCCTGGGTTTTTTTGCGATCCTTCGTTGCAATCCTGTTTTTTTTGCAACCCTGCGCGTCCCGTGCCGGGGGAGAAAAAGATACGGATACGTGTTGTCCCCCTTCGCTTTCGGCCTCTCCTGGTCCTCCGGGGGAATCCTCGCTGTCACCGCTGGATTCGCCTCGAAATTCTGGTCAGAACGCACCCCAAGAGAGGTCCGGGGCGCCGTCCGTCGCCAGCTCGTACGCCGCATTCTTGGCCTGGCCGCTGCGGAGGGGGGAAAGGGGGCGGGGAGAAGAAGGAGAAGGAGGAGGAGGAGGGGGAGGAGGGGGAGGAGGACGTCGAAAAGGAGGGAGGAGGAGGAGGAGGAGGAGGAGGAGGAGGAGGAGGAGGAGGAGGGGGACAACACGTGTCCGTATCTTTCCGCCCCCCAGCCGTGGGGGTGACCCCCTGGGCGGAACCCACATGGCCACGACACCTCAGCGCACGCGCCTTCGAGCCTCTCCTCACAGGAGAAGCGAGGGCCCCATGGGTGCAGGCCTCGCCCGGGGAGGTCGGGCGAGGGCCACGAAGAGCAGGGCACCAGCACGAGGCAGCGCTGGCCACGACGGCACGGAGGAGGAGGAGGGGGAGGAGGAGGAGGAGGAGGAGGAGGAGGAGGAGGAGGAGGAGGAGGGCGCAACGGCAACGAGGCCCCGAGCACGGCGGCGGAGCGCGCAGGGCCCGCAGGCATCCCGAGAACGGCCGCCCTCGCCCCCAGGCCAGGGAGCCCCTGGCTCACCAGGTCGGGCGCTTGGCATCGCTCCCTCCTCCTCCCTCCTCCTCCTCTCTCCTTACCTCCTCCTCCCTCCTCCCTCTCCTCCTCTCCCCCTCCTCCTCTCTCTCCTCCTCCTCTCCTCCTCCTCCTCCTCCTCCTCCTCCTCCTCCTCCTCCTCCTCCCCCAGATCTAGGTCTCCTGGGCCTGGCATCGCTCGGAGACGTGTGCAGTTTTCCTTTGGCGAGGACCATCGAGGAGCATCCTCGGTCATTTGGCGAAAAAGCCACGCACGGAACCGAAAAAAAAACACAGCGAATGGACGTCCGAGCGATGGCCAGGGCGTGGGGGTCCGCGCTGGGGATCGGGGTGAGCTGTGCCGTCCTCGTGCCCGAGGGGCGCGCGGGCCCGCGGCGCCAAGGCCCGTGTGCTCCGTCGTGGAGCGGGGCCAGCAGCTGATCACCGGCGCGTGGGACGGCACCGCCAAGGCGGCCACTGCTCCGCCGCCGCCCCCCTGGCGAGCGGCACCCCCGTGGACGAGGTAGCTCCCCCCCCCGCTCTCCACGCGGGCGCTCCTCCTCCTCCTCCTCCTCCTCGCCCGATCGCGCCCGATCGCGCCCCTCGCCCCCCCTGCGCCGCCGCCTCCTCGCCGCGCCGTCCTCGTCCCTCGCGTCTCGCCCCGCCGCCCCTCGCCGCGCCCCTCGCCGCGCCCCTCGCCGCGCCCCCTCGCCGCGCCGCCCGCGCTGCGCCCTTGCCGCGCCCTCGCCGCCGCCTCCTCGCCGCGCCGCCCTCGCCGCGCCGCGCGGCTGTCTTGTGCCCGCCGCTTCGGGCGAAGAGCGTGCGCTGCCGCCGCCCCCTCCGCGCGCTCGACGACGGCGCTCGACGGCGGCGGCGACGACGGCGGCGGCGGCGGCGGCGACGTCGACGACGACGGCGCTCGACGGCGACGGCGACGACGACGACGCGCTGCTCGCGCGCCTGCAGGCAGGCGGCCGAGAGCGCGTTCGCTCCCTTGCCGGGGTCGACGTCTGGCCGGTCTGCTCTCTGACCGCCTCGGCGACCCTGGCGCGGGCCATCCTCGCCGAGTCTCAGCCTCGTTCAACCGGGGCCCCCCGAGAAGAGCGGGGGCAGCTAAGAGGGGGGTGATAACTAGGGGGGGGTGGATATCATGGCGTGGGCCATGATATCCAGGAGGAGGAGGAGGTGGAGGAGGAGGAGGAGAAGGAGGAGAAGGAGGAAGAGGAGGAGGAGGAGGAGGAGGAGGAGGAGGAGGAGGCGGGGGCCATGATATCTCCCCAGATCTCATGGCGCCTCTTCTTTTTTCATTACGTCCCTGGCCCCACCTTGGGCCGAGCACATGCCGCCGGCCATGATTTGCACCCCCCCCTCTTGGGCGCCCCCCTCTTGGCCGCCCCCGAGAAGACGCCCGAGGCGGGGTTTCGTGGAGGGGGGCTACCTCGAGGTGGGGTTAGGGAGCGAGCCCAGTTGGAGATTCACATGCCCTTCTTCCAGCCCACCTCTACCCCTACCCCACCTTTACGCCACGCTGACTGAGAGGATGGACAGACCCAGCCGTGCTCGCGTCGTGGCAAAGTCGCGCAGGAGGGTTTTGTTCTAGCCATCTTCGGGCCCCTGACCCGGGACGAGGCCCAGGCCTCCGGGGGCCCACGTTGAAAAAGAGGGCTCGGCGTCGGCGCTCCTTGGAGGTCGGCCACGCACGTGTTGAGTTTCGTTCAGCCGACCCCTATCGCCATTCCCATCCCGAGCCCCGCAATTTTGCTACCTCAGTTGGGAATATACCTTTCGAGATCCGAAGGGAACAGCTTATGTCGGCTAGTGGGGCCCAGGCCACGCCGTTGGGGAGAAGGGTCGGATGAACGTTGCTCAGATTCTTACCGCCCCACCGATCCCGACCGCCCCACCGTTCGTTCCTGGACCTCGGGCGGCGAGGGGGAGGAGGAGGAGGAGGAGGAGGAGGAGGAGGAGGAGGAGGAGGAGGAGGAGGAGGAGGTGGAGGAGGAGGAGGAGGAGGAGAAGGAGGAGGCCGTAGCCATTTTGGCTCAAGTCTCACGGAGCTTACCTCCCGTGGGTCCCGGCTCCCGAGGCTCGAGGTCGAGGGGAAGGGCAGCCCCTTCCGAGGCCTGGCTCCTCGGCCAGCTTTCAGCTTTCACTGTGTGAGCTCCTGCAGGAGCACCCCTTTTCACATTTGCTCCCGAGGGAGCAGGGAGACTTGAGTGGCATTTCTCATGGGCACAGATGACCGCACAGTCCTCAAGGGGCCGAAAACCCCGCACTGGGGATGTGGGCAATGTGGCAGGTCGGCTAACTGGGCTTCGCGCATCAAGTGTGCATGTGGAGCCTCGGCGCCGAGATCGACGGTGGACAAGGCAAAGGCGGCAGACAAGGCGGCAGGGGGTAAAGGGGGCAACGGTGGGGCTCCTTCGTCGGGACCCTGGGCCGCCAAGTTTGAGGTTCAAGCTAAGCAGATCGCGTTTCTCACTTTCAAGCTCGACAAGTTGGCCACAGCAGGTGGCAAAGGGCCTCGCCAGCAAGGGCAGGGCCAGGATGCGGGTGGCAAGTCGGAGAAGGATCTGGAGGCCGACCAGCATCGCGAGCGGATTGAGAAGCTCACGGGTACGATTCAGAACTTGGACGCGGAAAAGGACAAGTCGCTCATCGAGAACCTCACGTCCAAGGTCCAGGAGGCGAGGAAGCATCTGCAGGGGCTCAAGCCACAGCTCACGCAGCACACGAACGCGGGCCATGTGTTGTCGGATCTGGAGAAAAAGAAATCTCAGGCTCAGCAGCGCAGGGCAGAGCAAGAGAAGGCGATTGAAGCAGCCAGTGCCGAGGTCGCCAAGCAGAATGAGATCATCACGAAGTTGGACGTGGATATCGTGCAGGCGAAGCGCAACTTGGCCTCGACAATTCCTGATGACATCTTCTTCGATTGCCAGGAGGAGTTCGCGAGTGACGCCGAGGTCACGGCCATGCTTGCGTCCGATCCCTGGAAGCGGTACTGTGCGAAGCTCAAGGAGCTGGGCAGGGCTCCTCCGCCTGCTGGCGTGGGTGGTGGGGGCGCAAGCTACTTCGTCGACTTCGAAACCGCTGACCTCGACGCCTTGTGGGAGAGCTGCAAAGGAGAGAAGAGGAACCTTGGCGAGCAGCTCAGGGCGATGGGGTTCACGCGCGCGCGTGTAGGGTAGCAGTGCCGACCAGTGGTTTTCTGTGGTGCGTGGTCAGGTGGACCCCATTGCAGGCGATTCCACGGAGTGGTTTGATGCTGATGATGGAAGCCAGGGCCAGGTGGGCCCACTTCCGCCGAAAAACATCTTCGATGGCCAGGTGGGCTCAGGAGAGGATATCTTGTTCGATGTGTATTCCGTCGGTAGTTGGAAGGAGAAGTGGGTGGAGGTGCCACGACCAGGTCAACCTACGTGGTGTACGGCGCAGACGGCTACTCCAGGGAGCTCGGCACCGTGCTTGGGGCCCAGTTCCCCATCCTCCCAGCTGCCATACTCACCCCTCCCTGCGAGAGGGGCAGAGGGCACGCAAGGAGTTCTTTTGGGGCCAGAAGCGCGTTCCTCGTAGATGGCGGCTTCAGGTTCTGAGACCAGCGGAAGGCAGCGCAGTGATTTAGGGAACGTTCCCGCGTTGTTGGCCCAGAACCGCAGCGGTGCAGGAAGCTTCAACTTCTACTTCGCCAGTATCACTAGCTTCGGTGACAAGGCCAAGAACCAGTTCGCTGCTTGGACTGAGATTCGCACTTCCCCTGCCGATGACAGCTCTTGGGCTCCGCAGCTCGATGGCATCGTTGAGCACCACCTGATGGGGCCTAAGGTCACGGAGACCAGCAAGAAGCTTGCGAAGCAGGGGTGGAAGGGCTCGCTGGTGCGGGCTCAGAGCACGATCAATGGAGGTCGCCAAGGGCACGGTGGAGTCGGTGCGGTTTCGCGCTCGCATCTTCACACGGTTGTGCACACGGACGAGCAGAAGTTACTCCTCCCCGAGCAGATGCCAGCGCTGCCCAGCCAGTGGGCGGTCCAGTGGGTGCGCTTCAATGGAGTCGACGTGGCTTTCGTGGCGGCGTACTTCGATGTGGGCGTTGGGCTGGGGGGGCAAATCTAAGCGTGCTCGCTGAGATCGGCGGATACCTGCGTTTGCGTGGGCAGCCGTTCATCATCATGGCCGACTGGGACATGACGTTTGATGAGATTGGGCCCGCGTGCTTCGGCCGTTGCGTGCAAGGTGGGTTGGTTTCAGCTGGTGAACACCCCAGCGGCGAGAGATTGATTGACTATATGTTGGTGTCGGCCTCTCTCAGGCTGTTGAGCTTTCCTGGGATGACACCTCTCCGTGGGCGGCCCCGCACGTCGGCATCAGGGGCAGGCTGTTGAAGGAGGGGATGGTGCTTAAGCAGAGGATCGCCTAGGCGCCGCTCCCGCTCGCGCCGTTCATGATGGGGCCAGATCGGCCCTGGGCCGCTCACGGTGCAGAGATCCCAGACCTGGTCGTCGACGGCATGCAGCGCGAGGAGCTCCAGATGCTGGAGGGGCAGGAGAAGCAGGTCAGCGAGAGTTGCATGAGGTTTGCGCTCACGGCGGAGCGCCTGCTGCTGCAGAGGGAGGCGGGCCAGGGCACGCGGACATTCTTGGTGGCCAAGCGGGGTTCATGATCGAGACTCAGGAGGTGCCGGTTGTCCCCCCTAAGCCTCAGGGGTGGATGGCCAAGTCCTCGGGGGTTGCCAAGTAGGGGGCCCTTGAGGGGCGCCTGATTGAGTTTTCGGTGATGCTCAAGAAGGATCGTGCCATTCACCTTAGAAGGCGAGGATGAGATAGTCTACAGAGACAAGTGAGTAGATGCCAGGACGTAGGGTTTGTTCTACCAGGTGATGCCGAATCCAAGTGTTTGGGCAAAGTTCGGAGTTTTCCCTTCCTGGGGAAGGAGGACCACGCCAAGGCCCAGAAACTGTGTGGTGAGTGCGGTAGGATGGTTCTTAGGATGGAGCGCCACCATGGGTGAGAATCTTCCAAGGGTGAACAACAATGGGATGGGTCCTGGAAGGTTTGAAGAAGGGGGCGGGGGCGGTCCACAGGTGGACCAAGACGTGGGGGAAGCCCCGGCCTGCCCTTGCCCCCGAACGTGGTTCTGAGGGGGAGTTGTTGGTTGATCCCCGTCGTGTGATCGCCTCCAAGGCGGCTGTTTGGGAGGCGCTTTGGTGTCCGAGCTTTGGGAACCAGGGCCCCCCTCAGGACCAGGACTGGTGGCCCGAGTTTCGGAGATGTGCGGCAGAAGCTCGCGACGAGCTCCAGCCGCTCGCAATGGCCGATCTGGAGACAGCGCTGCCGAAATTCAGGGGCGTTCTTGGGATGGGCCTGGATGGCCAGAATCCTAAGCTGTGGGCCCAGCTTCCCTTGGAAGGTCGGCAGGAATTGCTGATGCTCCTTCGCCAGGTCGAAGAATCTTTGACCTGGCCCAGGCAGGTTAG